TGCTATTCTTAGCACCTTTTAAAGTTTAGCACCGCTAGGGTACTGAAAATGGGTCTAGCAGGTGTAGGGTACTACATTTAGTACACGGGTGCTAAACAAATATGGGTACTTATATTAGCACCTTGATACTAAACTAGATCTCAGTTAAGTACGAATAAAATGCTTAGCTTAGCACCGCTAGGGTACTGAAAATTAGTCAATTGAAAAGTACCTCTATGGTGCTAAACTTTTTTTACAGTGTACGATGACGTTTGGTGTCTACTGCAGGCTCGAAGGGACTACTGATTCGTTCAGGCGATTCACGTGCCCATTTATGTCACTTATAGTGCAGGGGGCATCTTACCCAACGCCAGGGGGCGTCTTTCCCACCCTGTGGGGTAAGACGCCCCCTTTCACATCTCCAGGAAAATGCTTGATAGCAAAAAAAAGTTATCATATTTCAGGCACAAAAGTGTGATATTTTTGGAGAAAAATGATGTCGGCTTCCGTTGAAACTCCAAGTTTTTGCTTTCCGATCGTCATTTTCGAATAATATATGACATAGTAAAACCCTGGGCATCTTTCCCCACTCTCCCCTAATTGATATGAAACAGCTGTCTCTAAAGTTATGACCCCATCTCACCACATGAAAGTGGCAGAAATGACAATGATCAGCTGACGCATTTTTCTTGGCCGAAGTCAGAGTGCGCGGCCCGACGCACCACCACCGCACCACAAAGTATGAGCAGAAGCCGCGCCCAAAGCCAGGGCCCCGGTAACGTGAGGTAGCCGAGTCGGGGCAGCGTGCGCTGACCCAAGCCGGGGCTGCGGCTTTGGGCGCGGTCTACCGCATCCCCGCGACCCCGCGGGCAGCCCCGGGCTATCACATGACACCGGGAGGACGCGCGGCCCCGGCTTGGGTCAGCGCACGCTGCCCCGACTCGGCTACCTCACGTTACCGGGGCCCTGGCTTTGGGCGCGGTCTACCGCACCACCTAACAGGCGTGTTCGAAACCGCAGGAGATGATGATGAACGGGTTTATCGAAAGTTGATTGGATGAGCCTATCGGTAATAGCGATTTCAGTGTGTGCATTTATTGTTCATAGTGGTGTGAAATGTGGTTGGGGTACGACCGACAACCCGTCGGGGCGAATTTCGCACTGGGGTACTCAAAATTTGAAGAATTTAAGACGTTTCCATGAGTTTTGAAGGTATAGATAAGTTCTAAAAATTCGGTTCTCCTTATCTGGGCCATTAACTCCATACGGTCCAGGAAAGCTGGCACACTACCTTTAAAGAAGGGGTCTCATAGCGCAGGGTCTCCCTGAATTATTCCGTGGCCTTAGAGGCCCCAGCGCGCCTTCAGCGCTCAGAGAGGGGGAGGGACATGACCTCTTGGTTACGTCACTAAAAACACGTTGGCTGCATTTACTAAAACTATTAACCCTCGCCGGACCTATTGGTTTTCTACATACGCGCCGGCCGAGGGGGGGGGGGGGGGCGGGTACGACCCCCCCCTCGCCGTCTCGCCCCTGGTGGAGCTAGCGCGTCGCGGAAAAAAACGAGCGTGTGCGCCGTTACGAGACGCAGAGATTGGTACCCGATTTTAAGGTCCTAGGTCAACCGGTGACCTCTGAGATCAGATCAAGTGCCCCAGGGTACGGTTCAGTTTTTGGTGAATAACTTCGCAAAAAACGGCCGCAGAGCCGCGATTTTAGCAGCATCGTGTTCGCCTTGCTCAGGCGCGTCGAATGATATACCGGGTGGCCCAAAAAAAACGTTCCGAACTTTGGAGACCTATATCTCAAATTCGAGTGCAAATAACGAGCCAAAATTTTCATCAAGTTTGCGTCACTTCTTTGCGCATTGGTATACCAAATTATAACACTGTACCATCATTTTCAAGCCAGCAATCTTATGCTGAATTAAGTAAGACGTTTTTGCTTTTTTTGCCGTTGTTGAACGGTAGTAATGATTGGTTTAGACGTATAGTTAGAAAAAATAATAATAAATAGAACACGTGAATGATACCAGCACGTGTGTTGTTATTTTAAATATTTTTGCCCCACTTATGTGCCAAATATTCAAATGCTTAGCCAAAATTGTGTTAATGGATGTCATTCGTTTCAACACAAGTCCTGTTTCGAAGAGGAGTGGCACGGTGCATGGGTTACTGCTGATCGCCCTCCCTTCAAGAAGATCAAACAGTAAATCGACCCAATAAGGAAAAAAAACTAGAGGGAATGTGTTACCCTGAGGCCTGAGCCATCAATGAGACTAGTTGCCACTTGCCAGTAGCAGTCATGGCTGCAGGCCGTGGTGCCGAGATGGAAGTGGCCCGTTCACTCACATTTTTAGTAAACATCTGAGCAAAAAAGTGATTTTTACATGGCTTGCTAGAAACACGAAGCGTTTAAAAAGTAATTGACCGAATAACATAAAAATCATACCATTTGCAGGAAATATATGCCGCATTAACTATTAGAAGTTTCAATGCTGTATCTTTATCACTTTCTGAGAAATATTAATTTAAAATTGGGAACGTTTTTTTCTGGGCCACCCGGTACTTTTTGTCCGGGTCAGGTCAACTTTGGGTGTTGACCTCAGGTCAAGGTCAGGTCAGCACCCCCAGGTCACGAAGATGGTCGAAAGAGGTCATGTCGCATATCATTCGATTTGGCAGGTCTTCCTGAGTCCATTGGTGGCTTTCTCGACTCGCTAGCTCAATTTGATCAAGAGTTATTGACGAAAAACTAATATGACCTTGATGACGTCATAAATGACGTCACGCAAGGTCAACATTGCAAAAGTGACGCATCTAACCTTGCAAGGAGTGCATCAAATCACGATTCTGTGTGCTTGAGATGGTTGGAGATCGTTCCCGGCGCCAGAATAGCAGTTTTCATTTTTCCCCATTGACTTATAATGGTGAGGTCACGAAAATGACCTGACCTCATATGACCTTTAGGAAAAATCCGAGATATACAAGTTGTGAGACTCATAATGGATACTAGATCCTGCAAGTTTCATTTCCCTGTGACATCTCCTCTGGCAGTGAGGGCGTTGCGAAGTTGCGACATCTGAAGACCGTGCAGAGGTTCACTTATGACGTCATAGGTCAGTGACCTGACCTGACCCGAAAATGCGGTTGGTGTCAAAAGATGCGGCTTGGATCAAAGGTCAGGTATGCCAAGTTTCAGCTCTCTATCGCCAGCGTGTTCGGAGCTATCGCGAAAAAACCCTATGGGGGGGCGGCACCCGCCCCCCCCCCTCGGCCGGCGAGGGTTAAACCGCGAGTTGCTGGGGGGGGGGGCGTTAAACGCCCCCACTTTTTTCGCCGCGCTATAGCATGGTGCGCCAAAATTTGGGTACCTGTAGGGAATTGATTTAAGTTTACTGTGACAAAGTTTCAAAAAATCGGTCAAATTTTTTTTGAGATATCCAGGTTTTAGTGAGGTCATGATTTCTGAGTTTTCAACAAAAAACGGCATATGTTCAAAAAATCATATAAAATCACGGAATAGACATATAGACATGCCGTAACCGCCATTAGACTGCCAATACCATGAACAATCAAATGGCTATCTTCGATTTTCGATTATCGTTCCGCATTTTCCAAAATCTTGAAATGAATCTTGGCAATTTCTCGTGACTACTTCACGACCATTTCTTAAATTGGACTTTTTGAACCAAACACGTACAAGTATGATAAAATGAATGTTACCATCGTGTTCTACGCCCCAAATTAACCATAAATTAAGTGTCACAGGCTGCGAATATCAGTTCTGATTTTCGGGGATATGTGCCTGCCTGGTTAATCTTACCTTGGCCCTGACCTATGTTTGACTGACCCCTTCATGGATCTGACACTCTTGTAGGCCTTATATGAAGGATTGTGCACCGTTTTGACAGAGTTGATGACGAGAGGCGCCTATTGCAAGGTTCTGAAGTCCATGCTATTGAAAGCCCGATTTCAGGTGTTTGACCTGACCTTGACCTGACCTGTGACCTCAAAATTCAACTGTTAAGTACTCATCTGAAGCGTCTCGTCGCGTTCTTTCGTTTGCCGCATCGTGCGTTTCGCTGCGCCTATTGGTTCTTGAGTTATCGACTGGGGGGCGTTTAATGCCCCCCCCCCCTCCCCCAGCAAACGGCGCGTGGCAAAATACCCCAGCAACTGCCGGGTTAAGCGCAACGGTACAGATCGATTGATAGTAGGTATGCAACATTGTCAGTGCAACTTTGCAACTTGCCAGTGATGTCAAGACCGTAACGTAATTCCGAATAGCTTTCTTTTTACGGGTCTCCGACTAAGGCAGTTCCTCCGGCGGATATATCCTCGTTCCGCCCCTGAATTCCTGACTTTGTCCACAGTCCGGACGTCAGTAGCCGTTTTCACGACGGCCATCTGGTACACATTTGGTGCACATCTGATGCAGATTAGGTGCAGATTTGGTCAAAATAGGTTCATTGTGTCTCTTAGTAGCTATCAGCTAGGGTTGCACTAATTGCTTATATGCCTGCTTTGCCATATTATTAGAGAGTATCATCGATTAAAACACTGAAATAAATTCATAAAATAAAGATGTTTGCTGTAAAAGAGATTAGGTGCAGATTTGGTCAAATTAGGTGCACTCGCCGGATAGCCCGTCGTGAAAACGGCTAGTATGAACCAGGTGAAATCTGTAGATGTTCTGCTCTAGTATATAATCAGTTCCAGTCCTTATCCACGAAATTTTAGTTGCTGTGTCTCGTATCTGACACAATCAGCGAGTCTGAATCAGTCCCCCTTGCTGCCGTTGCGGCGTCCTTCGCCGCCCGCCGCTGCGCCGCTGCCGCCCGCCGCCGCGCCGCCACCGCCGGTCACCGCCGCCGCCGCTGCGCCGCCGCCCGCCGCCGCCGCCCGGCGCGCTCGGTCACCGGCGCCCAGCGATGACCGCTGAGGTGAGGCTCCGCCCCTTGGCGGAGGCCCCGCCCCGGCCGCGGCGCGACGCAGCCAGCTGTCGACAGCGATAGTGAGCCAGAAACCGCGGCCCGATACGGCCGGCCAGCCGCCGATACAGCCGGCTCGCCCCCGCCCCGCCGCCGCCGCCACCGCCGCCGCCGCAGCAGCCCTATCGGATCGAGAGGTCAAGGTAAGAGAGTCAGTTGAAGACGAGGTCGTCTGTGGGTTATGGATTGTGTTACTAGACGATGGACCGCAGAATAGTCAGGCTGAGGTCCCAGTGCTTCCAGAGGTGTGAGACGTAGCGGTTTCTTCCTCTGCATTGAAACACTGCGGTACGTATTGTGGTGGTCTGCTCTTCGTTTGGCTCTTGCTTACTCAATAGCGACGACAAGTTAGAATATCATGAGAAAATGATGTCAGCACTTTTACTGACCACGGACTGACAATGGGCTTACACAGAAGTACGGCAGGGCGCATAGCATGTTTCAACTCAGACAGGGGTGGATTGCGCCGAGCCCGGCAGCGTCGATATAGGATCGGGGAGATCGATCGTAACTTGACAGAAATGAAGGGAGAAGAAAACTACTGATCTTTATCTTTATCTCGACTTTGGGCTCGATGGGTATTGCGGACCCCTCTCGTTGTCCACCCTGCACCCAGTGCTTGTTGCTTGCTCGGCTGATGCTAACTTCTGTGTCCATCACGCATCTCCTCATTAGAGCGTTCCTTCTTCCCAAGTTGGGTGGAGACTTCCACTGGCGTCCAGCTGGCGTCTAACCTAGCAGACGTCCAAGTTGGCGTCGAACTTGGCGTCTAACTGTTGGACGGAGACTTCCAAGCTATACTCTGTCCCGTTTCAAGCTTGCAGCCGAAGTGCCCTGCTGAAAGCAGTGCGTGATTTCTGTATATACAGTTCTTACATTGTAAGACGCAAATTCTTGAGCGGAGGTGCGATCTGCCGAAGAAACTCCGACCCAAGCTCCGACCGCAAGCTTGATATGGAACAGACTATAGACGCGTCTAAAGTAAGCTGTCGCCAGATAGACGCAGCCGCCGTCCAGCTAAACGCGTCTAAGACTTAGACGTGTCTAGCTAGACGCAAAATGGAAGTATCCACCCAATGGGTGTTTTTAAGCACATGCTGATAAAAATTAAAGCAATCACGAGTGGAAGGCAAAAAAAAAAAACGGATTTATTTTGCTGATCACTAAGATAATTCAAGCCTTATCTATTAGCTTCTAAAGCAGTAAAGTTATAAGTACTTCCCTTTTGAGCAGCAGCCACGTAGCGCACTATTTTCATTCAGCGGGCGATGCGGAGACATCCACCAATCATGTTCAAACGGGCTAGCCACGTCCGCTCATCGGCTGATTCGGCAGTCACTTAGCCTCTGTTACGGATGACCGTGAGCCATGAGGAATAGGCGTCATCCCGTTGCAAGTTCCAAACCTTATATCTTTGGCTAGGGCTTGAGACTTTCTACCGTGCACCCCTCCTCACTGAACTGTGAGTTATTGAAATGGTCTTGCGAATTCTGAGTCAGACCTAACAGCCTACCTTATTCACACAATTTGGTGAAGTACCACTGTCCTTCCACTATCCTTATCAATGTTATCTGTAACAAGCAGATAAGCTATCACATTTGCTTATCACGTATTTCTTATCGGCATAAACAGTTATAGGAGTTTTCTGCGTGACGTGATAGCTTGACTATCTGACCGAGCCCAATGTGTTTGCATATTCCATCGTTGGACTATCCTTAGAGATTAGATATTTTCAATAGCATTTGTGCTTTCATCTATATGTATTTCATGCGTGAACACATTATCCTAGGCAAGCCGTATTTTATTGTGATTATCTGATTTTTAAAACAATGAAAAAAAAAACACATTAGGTAACTTAAATGCGCCTGAAGGCAGAATTCTGAATTTTCATGGATTGATCGCACAGACCTTTGGAAACGCGACTCTTTTTGAAAAGAAATAAGACACGTTTCATATTAAGAAAATAAGAAATAGCCTTTGTGGTAATGTGGTTAGTTGCCAACATCGCAAAATAAGCGACCTGTATTGATGAATGAGTCTAAAGGCTGTTAACGAGTATTTCCGAGGTGTCTGCGAGAAACCTCTTCTCACTTTTATTAATTAATTTCACTCTATATGTTTTAGGGCCTTGATTTCATTGATGTTTGTATTATTCAAAGTTATCATTCCAACTAAACTCACCGCCTGATCATGGCACTTGAATTTAGAAGTCCCTCACTCAGCAATGCTGCAACTGCCATTTATCCAAGCTATTTGGCAAGACGATGCCAGTCGCCAACTAAATCTAGAGTTATGTCCAAGTTCTGTGATATATGACTGACATAACTTTTAACTGGCAAACTAACAAATGTAGCAGCATAACTTCTAACTTATAAATATCATAGCTTCTGACAGACATGTGCATGGATCCGAGAAAATGGATCTGTGATCTGATCCCACGGATTCTGATCTCGGATCCGACGGGAGCATAGATCCAGCTCTCAAATTTATCGAGAGATCCGTAGGGATCACAGATTCGAGTCTCATTTTTTCTTGAGATCCAGTGAGATCATAGATCCTCACTTATTTTTTGTCAGCACAGAAAAAAAACACTTGTTGCAACGCATAAACGTTCTGTTTGAGTGATTTTATGTCCTCGCACGTCATAATCCATAGTTTTGTGGCACTTACGAGTATTGACACAGAGACCCTTTAAAACATGGTTTCAAATGTTGTGCATGGTGGGATCCACTCAGATCATAGATCCATGTTCTTGATTTATCGTCAGATCGTATGAGATCATAGATCCAAGATGAATTTTTCACGCCGGATCCGATGGGATCATAGATTCTAACCTGCAGTTTGCTTCGAGATCCACTGAGATCATAGATCCATCGCTCGGATCCATGCACATGTCTGGCTTCTGAAATGCTACACCTAAAGAATATAACTATCTTGAGATGCATTGGTTGGACTAATTTTCCCTAGAGAAGTAAAATGTAAGTTCTATCTATGTGAAAAAGTAATTAAGTCACCGAACTGAAATCACCCGTTTTTCAATGCCAAGTAGTACTGATTGGTGCAGACGTAGTCAACTTAGGTCAGTTTGGAATCAAATGAGAGCCTTATTGTTTTACAGTAGCTGTTCAGCCTGGGCTAGAATTATCTGCAGTTCGTTATACCGAGGGAGCTTCCCAACTTTATTTGCATACCATCGTCAGCGTTCGTGTCGCTATTCTAAAGCTGGTTAAATCGAATCGTTTCGACTTCCGAACAATTTGCTACAACAAACGATTGATGCGTTTGCTGACAATGGCATGCTGGTAAGTGTACAGAGCTACCGAAAGGTCACGATATAAAAACCTTCGACCATGCACTTGCACTATGGGCAAAATAAAACCTTCTTCATTATTTTGAACTCCACAAGATGCCAAAGTCAAGAGTGAATATTTATAGACGGAAGTCCACATTGTTGAATCGAATTCCAATATTTTACTGTTTAACTACACCCAGTTTCGACTTTGATGGGATGTAATGAGTTATCGTAGATTGCTGCGGCTATTTGGTTGGTTTGCTAAGCCTGTGGAAACTAACAACCGAATAATGACCATAGCCACTACTAAAGGCTATTTTTGCATTTGTATGCCCGCCTTTGAATGTAAGAACGATATCTATATCATTTCACCTTGATTTATGTTTGATTTTATGCAATGAACATTTTCGGCCACAGCCTATTTAGTGTTCATGTCACTGGTGTTGACGGGTTGTTGTGACAACGCTTATCCGTCTTAGTAGCCGTTTTCACGACGAATATTAAATGCACCAAACGTGACCAAATCTTCACCAAATCTCTTACAACTAATATCTTCATATCTTAATTCATTTTAGTGTTGTTATCGAAAATAATACCTGCTAATTTGAAAAAAAAATCGGTATAAAAGCAACTGTGCAACCCAAGCTGATAACCCAAGCTGAAGCACATTGAACCTAATTTGACCAACTCTGCGCCAACTCTGCACCAAATTTGCACCACCAAATGTGTACCAGATAGCCGCCGTGAAAACGGCTGTTATTTGCATGCTCTGGTATCCAAGCAGGCTTTTGATGTCAATACATACATACATACAATTCCTTTTCTGTGCTGCACTGCCATTAGTTAAAAAAGTAACGTTCAGCGCTGTGCGAACGACGCCTTCGCAGATCGTCCAGAAAAGATCATGTAGCCGGGTTCTCCTTCCAGCCAGTTGTGCGTTACTGTGATATAAACCATGGTAACATAGGTAACGCTGGACAAATTCAGCATTCGGTGACGGTTCCTTATTCCGTTTCTTGTTGAGATCATACGCCATCCGGTACCCATATTCGAATAAACTAGACCCACGAAAGGGACATGCACAGGCATACGTAACCTTACTAATATTCCTGAGTTTGTGGAGAAGCTGCAAATTATTATGTATGTACATTTTGAATATAAGAGGGCCCGCTCGAAATAGTCTCGCAAAAACATAAGATCTCAGGTTATTTGTTACAACAAATATTTGTTACCTGCATCTGGCTGAACAGGCCGTTTCTGAAAAAAAAATATTTGTGATTCACTCAGATCGCTTATCTTAGGATATCTACCATAGTCATTCTTCCCATGCAACACCATAGGTGTAATGTTGTAATAAAATACCGCAATTATTGGTAGGGCTCGAGCCCTACCAGGCCTTTATATCACGGCACCCATTTCTTTTTCATCCTGAGTGTTCTTGGCACTCGTGACACATTATCGGGGAGTCCCGTGACCCGTTGGCTTTGGGCGCTACAAGGCTAGCGCCTCACCACGCGCTCGCCCAGCGTCGAGTAATGTTGACTGGCTGTGCGTCAGTTTTCGTCACAGCGGCGCCACCGGCGTCATGGCCGCCGCGGTGCGCCGCTTTCGTCACACCCTGATAACGGATATCATCGGAATGCCAATACGACGGTGATCGTCTGATGATAAGGCACAAAGCACTGGCTCACAGCCGTCTGCAAGATCCGTGTTCGTTGATCTTGGCTGAATTCGTTGTCTCTATTGTTAGCATCCCTTTCGTGGTTTTTAGAAGAACACTTCTGAACTTCAAATTATCCTTATAAGGCAAGTAACTCGTACATACTACTGAATATTCCACTATTTTGTTTT